TGTCTAAAATAATACTGCCTGGCCAACCCGTTAAAAATGTTATGTGGCTAAGGGTTTTCGCTCAAAGTGATCTGCTTTAATCACTAGGTTAGCGATAACAAGTTAGAGGTTGTTTTATTTTCTTAGCTTCATACCATGTTGATGGTTACAGTAAATCTAGAAATGATAATGAAGTATCTATAATAGAAACTGTATAATCCTGAGAAGCAAGCTGCAGAAATACTATTTTTGTATCAATTACAGATTTGTGTAAATCTACAATTTATTTGAAGATGTCATTTTTTTCAGGTTTTACATTAAGAAATACTAATCATAATTTTTTATGTTATTTATTTCTCTAAAGAAGTACCAATCTTTTTTACATCACAAGCTTTTTTCTACGTCTTTCAAAATAAATGTACCATCACTTACAGGAAAAAGACTAGAAAAAAGAAACTGTTCCCTCTGTAGTGATATTTAACTTGTTTATTTTCTTCTCCTTGGCTAAAGGCTAGCAACATAAAAGAGAAAAAGACAAGCTGATTTTTACAATTTTTACATTGTGGACAGTCTTTATCATCCTATTTTATTGATTAGCATAGTTAGCCATAGCTACATACAGCAATCTATTATTTATAAAGTAGTATAAAGAAACCTTTTTAGTTTTTAGGAAGGTTTTCAACATTGCATGACAGCAGACGTCTTCGAAACCGAAAAGGATAAAATTAACTTTGCTTTAGTGGATTCAACCATTCCAGGGTCTGTTGTTGTCCAAAGTGGGAACAAATCAATCACTTATTGCCTTAATCTCTAGTGTAGGCCAAAATAATTTTTTCCCTGCGAGTTGTTCTAGCCTCAATCAATGCCGCAGGCCCTGGAACTGGCCAATCACAATGCATAAATGTGTTTTAAATTTCTGGATACAAATCAGGCGGGGTTTTGAGGCGGCAAAAACAAAGCTGTGCAACGCTGGAGAAAACATAACCAGGAATATGGCAACAACTATTGAACAGTTCCCGTTTGACATGGCTTTGAAATCAGTTTTGTAAGGATTAGACTTGGGGTTTTCATTGAAACGTGAGCAGGAAGAGGCTCTAAGCTCTACAGGCTGTTTGTTTACACTCCCCCACCAGCTTTCTGTGTCGCTAACTACGTCACAGTCAGTTGCACTCATTGGTCAGAGCGTTGGCCAATAGGCAAAGACATGGTTTAGAAAGAGTTGTTCTCATAAATAATCTTCTGATGTGTCATTCATTGGGGCCAGACTAAATTACACATTTAATCTCACATTTAATCTGGTTTACCAGGCTACTTAATCAAATTTTTGTAGCCAAAAAAGGCAAAGAAGAAACATCGGCTGAATATCTGATCAAGTTTGTTTTTTTCTATGTCCATTTTGTTGCATAGCTGGTAAATTTCTATTATCTACTGTAATGATCATTTGCACATTTCCTTTTTGTGATTAAACTTAGCAGTTTACTATCAGACAGCCCAAAGTTTATTTTTAAAGGAGGATTTGCTTTCTATCGCCTGTTCTACTCTGGCACTTTGTTAAAAAGTTATATTAGTAGATTTATCTAATGGCTAAAGCACAGAACTCAAACATAAAGTCGCTCAACAGTAAATATGTAATGATTGTTTTCCTTTAATGATCTTCTTGTTTGCCCAAATATCAGTGGGTTAGATATATGTGCTTTTAAGAGACTGGCTCAAGCACCTGTGGAGCGCTCGGCCTCATGCGGCGCTCAGTTCCAGCCGTGTTATGCCCATAAAAGGTAAATCTGTCTTCCACGGCCTCATTAAGTATAAGTTGTGAAGCAGGCTGTTTAAAGAGGATGTCTATATTGTAGCTGCATTCAGCTCTCAGCCTATGGATTTGGCAATCAGCATTGCTTTAGTGCCTTTAAGCAAACCTCTGAGGCTGTATCAGAATTCAGAGACGCTGGTTGATGTTGGCTCTGGCCATAATACTGTTGCAGATTGCCCTAGTTGTGTAGGTGTGTTTGTGTGTGCTTTTTTTTCACAAAGAGGTCTTTGTTGTTGATCTGAGCTGCTTGATGGCTGGCCAAAGCTTCACTGGAATGACAGAAGTAACTGGAAACTGTGTTGCTGTTTGGCAATCAGATGAGACCTTTTTTCTATTTTACCAGCAAACTGAGGTCTGGTTGTTTTTAGGTGGAAATATGTTCTTGATCTCCAGAGGTCAGGTTTTGGCATGAAGGTGTGAATTGAGTTTTGTTCAGGTTTAAGGTGAGGTATGTACTGGTAATGGTTTTAGAGGTAGGGTCACAGTTAAGGGCTGGTTTTTCTCTTACAGCAGTGTGTTGCAGTGAGCTTCACGCAGACATTTTTGATTTATGGTCAATTTTGAGCATGGTCTGCTCTATACACTGTGGGTCTAGATACGGCCGAGGCGGTGAGGAAGTGGGGCAAGTTTGTCCAACAACGGAGGGACATGACAATGAAAAATAGCAGGGATCCAGGTGGAAAAAGGGTCCCAGCATTCTCGCTCTTCTAGCTGTTCAAACTTTACGAGTTTGCCTCCTGTCTGCGCTCACCTACAGAGAGGTGCAGTAGAGTGTCTGCGGAGGGAGCAGGGACATCTTTTTGTTCACTGTGACACCCATGCAGACGACCTGGTTTCCAAGTATAAATCAGCCTTTAGGCCATAGAAAGGGCTGAAAATGACTGAAAATCCAAACACAGGATCCTCACTGTATATAGCGAGATGAGAACTTGTGCGTGTGAGCTTGGCATGACTCTGACTCAGTGGTCGTCTTTTCTATTTTGACCAACTCTACACCATTCACCACAGGCTTTTGTTCGTGCTGTTTTTTTGTTATCTTATATATTTTTTAGACATTCCCTCAGATGTGACTCATCTGATCATGATGCATGTCTGCGGAGTCTTAGGGTTTGTATTGTTCTGGCTATTTAAAGCAGCCTCTCTAACATAAATCTGGGTTTAAAGTCTCTCAGTTGTTTTTAGGGCATCATCTTTATTCTTATGCAGTAAAAATTCTCAAGTAATACTTCCATGGGCCATTCTTGAGAAACTATTAATATATATCGTAGTGTTATTTAAAATCTAAAATAAGTTGTAAATCAGTTAAAGAACTTTGTCATATAAAGACACTGTTTATGTCTGAGTTGTATTCATTATTGTTGCACCAATGCCATTTTTTGGCCCCGATACTGGTACCTGGCTGTGCAGTGTTGTCCGATATCATACCGATACCGTCTGTGTGAAATTGATGTGTGTGTGTGTATATATATGAAGAACTGCATACTGTAGTAAAATAATTGCCATCATGGCTTTGTTAAGCTGCTGCCTACCTTAGTTAAATAAACTTTTGGCTCTTAAAATGGTATCGGTGCCCTGTTTGTTGGTACTTGCCGATACACCACCATTTTCATGCTGGATCGGGGCCCTGCCAAAAAATTGGTATCGGTGTAACCCTAGTTTTCATTTTAAAATCTTTTAGTATTTTATTTTAATTTCTGTTAAATTTCTTCTTTCTGCAACATGTCCTCTTCTTTCTAAATCTACAGATTGGTTAAATGATAGTATATTCACATAAAATACCTAGAGGGATGATGATATCTGCTTAAGAAAATGTTTTGAAATGAGAAACTATATCAGTTAAATCTATGGTGGTGAAAAATATATTGTTAAAGTTTCACTCATTAGATGTAGTTGTATTGTATTTAGTGGTTACTAACGGCTGGTTGGAATGTCTTGTCTGTTGCCTCATTAAGAACATATTGCTGAGGGAAAACTAAGCACTGGAAAATAGGCTGGACTCTATTATCCATAGTCAAATATGTTGATGGCAGGAAACCAGCAAATATTTCCCTCCAACCCAATAAGTTAAAGTAACAAATACTGAAGTGTGGCCGAATTGGAGAATTGAAGTAAATAAAACAAAATAATTAAGAACGGTCCCTATGTCCTCCTACAGCCTAATACTATAGCAGCATAACTATAGAGATAGCTCAGGATAACCTGAGCCACTCTATTGAAAAGGAAAATGTTCAAAAGTAGACATAACCTCAAAGGACTAGATAAATTGATAACAATTCTATGATAATTTACTAAATCTGTAGGGGCTGATTGGTCCAAACATGTTTGAATTCATCTTTTGAGCCAAAACAAATTAACTTTCCATATGTAAAGGAGAGCTCTTGGTTTACATCTTTAAATTTTCTCTCTAGTCATTTAATGAATAATGTTTTTTTATTAAATGACTAAAAACATGACAAAAGTTAACAGAATTGTAATCTTACTATCGGGCACACTTCATCAGAGAGTTAGCAGCAGCCCCTAATAACGCTTAAAAGGATCTCTTTATACATCTCCAGGGTCACATTCTGCCACATCATCAAGTAATATTAGGGTATAATAAGAACATACATGAATGATAAATAATAATTCTAAGTAATGTATAACCTTTTTTAACAGGCTGTAAAATCCTAAACATTTCCTCACTTCTTTTCTCTTTGTAAGGCACCAGTCAGACTAAAGTATTTACTTCCCTCTTCTTAGCTTTTCTTCTAATCCGTTTCCGTTGGGTTGAATTTATTCATCAAAGTGACTCAGAGCTAAGTGATGTTTTAGGCTGTGGTCTGTAAACTGAACACAGCTTTAGTCACCTGGCTGGACAAAACCAGCTGCTGTCGCCTCCATTAGAAGTGCTCTGTTTTTGTGCACAAAGGGTCTGTGTCAAATTTAGGTACATTTCCCACTATTTCTCTTCCTACTCTTCCTCAATGCTGAGACAGTTATTTACATTCGGAGCATAAGTGATTCCACGCTGTTTGAGGAAAAGGACATTTCTGTTAAAGTGGAAAATAGTCGTCTGGAATTTGACTTCCGACCTTCTGACCTTTGCTGTTTGTCTCGTCCCTCCTTTCTCCATACATATTTCCAGTCTGAAACACAAACATTAAAGGGGGGTAAATTTTCTATAATGACATTGTTTTCTGTAATTTACAAGAATAATCATCTTTTTTTGTTGCAGATGACAGGACTAAAGACGGCAATCAGATAGAGTTCAAGTCCAAGCAGTGGTTCGGTGCCTCAGTGCGATCTGATGGAGAACACATCCTGGTAAGATCTCATACTGTTTTTTTCCCTCCAAATCCAGATTATAATTCCTTTCTCCCTTAAAGCAAGACTATTAGTTAAGGTTAAAATAATTTTTCTGGTCAGTATTGAACACTTTGTGTTTACTGATGCTCTGTGCATGATGCTCTTCCCAAATACTCAGCAATGTAACCTTGGGGTCAGCTCCGTCATTGAATACGTCATGTTTCCCTGAGCACCACCGTCTGAGCTAACCTTAAACAAGAGTGCTAACTAAGCTAAAAGTCTTGGTTTTTAGGCCACAGAGATCTGACCCTTACCTAACACAAATATTTTTGGTTCTATGATGTAGGATTTAATCTACTGGGCAAATGTAGCTTTGAATTTAGCACTGACTCCATAATTCAGTCTGGCCTGATATCAGGTTCCAATCAGTGAGTGCAGTGCTGCCAACTGGCTGAACCTGGAGAATTCAACCTCACTGCAGCAAACATTTTGAGTTTATTTTATTGTTTTTAATGTTGAGATGTTGAGAGATTGGAAGAAGATAGCGTTAGATTTTAGCCAGATGGAAATAAAATAGACCAAGGAAAACAACATCATCAGCAAAAAAATCATACAATGACATGATCATCCGCTTCATCTGACCGACAAGGAGGACGTTCATCTGAGGCCTGAGGGAACTCAGGTGGAGCAGCTTGGATCTGGTCCTTAGGTTCTATTTCATCCCTACTGACCGCCAGAGGCGGTGCTTCAAGCACTGAATGATCATTCATGCGCATGCGCAGGTCGAGTATTAATGACAACAAAGTCAGCTGTGACCTGCCGGGGACCCACGTGACTCTATATAGTCACGTGGCACCCGGCAATCAATCCCTTTTGTTCTTCTCGCGCGCAGGTGTGTTGAGTACAGGAGTGTGGTCGTGTGAAGCTGGTTGCTTCTGTGTATACCACTAGTTTCCTGGCTGCTTGTTGCTGGTAGCCCCGTGACCGGGTTTGGTCGGAGCTGCGGGTAAGTCTCGCCCTCCAGGGGCTGCACAAGCTGCTTTCACCTTACCAGATCTGCGGTGAATGGTAAGTTTTCGTTCTTTTCTCAGCAGTAGTTTACTGTTCGCTTTGATTTGCCGCGTTAATTTTGTGGCTCTTTTGACTCACGGTAGCATTTCTGCTCGCGCTGAGTTGTTTTCAGTTTGTTTGCCTAAGCCCACCAGTAGCGTTTCTGCTTGCGTTGGGTTCTTCTATAGTTTGTTTATCTACACTCACCAGTGGCGTTTCTGCTCGCGCTGAGTTGTTTTCAGTTTGTTTGCCTGAGCCCACCCAGTAGCGTTTCTGCTCGCGTTGGGTTCTTCTATAGTTTGTTTGCCTAAACTCACCAGTGGCGCCTCTGCTCGTGCTGAGTTCATCTTTAGTTAATAATCGATTTGCTAGTGGCGTTTCTGCTCACGCTGAGTTTGGGACCTCTACGGGGGTTTTCCTACAACGGAGTCGCCAGTAGCGTTTCCTGCTCATGTTGACTTGTCCTTGGTAGCGGGCTGATCACGCCTTTCAGCAGTATGATGCTGGATAATTTATGTTGCTCGACCTGTCTGGCTCCACTTCAGCCCGATGACGGGCATGACTTGTGTCCCTCCTGCCTCGGTGTGGAACATCTCCGGGAGGCGCTGTCAGATGACGCTTGCCCCAACTGTCGTGTCATGCCCCGGTCGGTCAGACTGGATCGGTTGGCTGCACTGGAGCAGCCTACCGACTGGGCAGGCACTTCGCCGCGTGCTCGTTTGCCGATGGAGAAAGAGTTGTGCAAACGATCTACTGTGGCTGCACCTTCGGTACAGACAAAGCGTGCTAGACGGACCGATGCAGGGAGGTTGTCCACGAGAGTGGATCATGTCACTACTGAGCTGGCCCAAATGAAAGCCCTCCTCCAGTCCTTTCAGACTGCTGGTGATCGTGGCACGGCTCTCCCTACCGAGCAGGATGAAACGTCAGTCAATGACGACGATGCTGTTTCTGTGGCGGCCTCTGGCACCCATTTCTGTGAGGACCTTCCGGAGCTGGGCTCCGGGGCCTCTGGGTCGGACTCCATTGCCTCCCAGGAGGATACGGGGGAGTCTGTGACATCCGCTATTCGAACGGCTCTTGCCTGTTTACAAATTAGTGTTCCTCAGGCCCAGCCTGCGGCTTCCAGCGCCTTCTTTAGGCGCAGTAGGTCAGAGACTGCCTTTGTGGTTCCTCCCTCGGCAGAGTATGTGCGGGAACTGCATGCTTGCTGGTCAGACACCAAGGCGTTTTCACGTCTGACGACGGATGGCAGGGTCCTGGCAGCTATGCAGGAGGCACCCAAGGTTGGCTTGGGGCAGATGCCAGCGGTGGAACCGGGCATTGCCTCTCTTATAATCCCACCTGATGAGGCCTTGCGGCCCAATGCCCGTTGTCCGCGTCCTCAGTGCTGTATTACCGACGACCTTCTCTGCAAGGCCTATGACTCTGGGGCCCTCATGGGCCGGATTGGGAACTCTCTCCCATCTTATGCTGGCCCTGTCTTCCTCCTTGGAATCTGTTCCGCTGGATCATGCCACGCAAGGCCTGGTTGATGCATCTCTGCAGGCCTTTGCTCTTATGACGAGGGAACTTGGACGCACACTCTCCACACTGGTTCATGCTCGCCGCCAGGTCTGGTTGGCGCAGTCACCACTAACTGAGCCTTGTAGGAGGACCCTCCGGGCCCTGCCTGTGGTCCCGGGGGAGCTTTTTGGTTCTGCGGCACTGGACGCCTTGGACCGTACGGCTCAGGCCTCTAGAACGAGGCAACAGCTGGCAGGGCTTCACAGACGTGATCGCCAGCCAGTAAGCACCTGGGCAGCTGCGGGTCCTTCACGGAGGTCCTTGGTGCCTTCTCCTTCTCCCACTGAGCCCCAGGGTCTGTTACCAGGTCAGAGATCGGTCCAGAGACCTGCTCTAGATCGGAGGAACAGAGCTCGAGACCAGGCTGGGACAAGGTCCTTTCATCCCTTTCGAGCCGCGCAGTCTGGCCGGCGTCCTCCCGGGCCTTCGAAGGGCCGGGGGACCCGCAGATGATGTCTTAGGGCCGGCGGTCGGTTATTTTTCCCCGGGACAGCTCAGCTTCTGGGCTGCCCACACCCCGGACTTGTGGGTGTTGTCCACCCTGTCCCGGGGGTACCGTCTTCAATTCCGCCACCGGCCACCTATCCCTGGCCGGGTCAGGATGACTGTGATCCACGACCCGGTGAAGGCACAGGCACTGAACCAAGAAATCTGCACCTTGCTGGCCAAGGGTGCTATAGTGCCTGTGGACCCCCTGCTGGATCCAGGGGGCTTTTATTCCATGTATTTACTGGTTCCGAAGAAGACCGGGGGCCTGCGTCCAGTCTTGGACCTCAGAGGCCTGAATGTGTACTTGAAGGCCATGCCCTTTCATATGCTGACCACCAAGGAAGTGTTGCAGGCGATTTCCCCGGGCGATTGGTTCACTTCCATAGATCTCAGGGATGCTTATTTTCACGTTCCGATCGCTCCGCCCCATTGGCGGTTTCTTCGTTTTGCTTTTCAAGGGAGGCATTTCCAGTTCAGGGTCCTCCCGTTCAGACTTTCACTGTCCCCCAGGGTGTTCACCCGATGTGTTGCAGCGGCCCTCTCTCCTCTGCAGGCACAGGGATTGAGGATCCTCCCATATCTGGACGACTGGCTCATTTGTGCTGCGACGTGGGACCAGGCGGTTCGAGATACTCGGTTAGTGCTCCATCATGTGGGATGCTTGGGCTTGCAGGTGAACATGGAGAAGAGCAGTCTGACTCCCTCACAGGAGACTGTCTTCCTGGGCATTGCCATGGATTCCATCTCAATGACTGCTTGCCCGTCACCCCAGCGGGTGGACAGTATATTGAGCGTGCTCCCGGAACTAGGCGCGGCATGGCGCTGCCTCTTGTACAGTATCTTCGACTCTTGGGCATGCTTACAGCTGCGTCCGCCGTAGTGCCCTTGGGGCTGCAGTCATTGCGGCCCCTCCAGATGTGGTTGAACAGCTTGAATGTGGATCCCACACGGAACACTCATCGTCTCCGAAGACTTCGGGTGGGGCCTCAGTGTCTTCAGTCTCTGTCCCAATGGAGAGTGAGGTTGTTTATGACCACAGGGGTCCCGCTCGGTTCCCTCCCGTGTCGTCAGGAAGTTGTGTTTACAGATGCATCCTCCACGGGCTGGGGTGCAACCTGGCGGGGTCAAATGGCACAGGGGACATGGTCCCAGCGGCAGGGCAGGGAACACATCAATGTCCTGGAGTTACAGGCGGTACTTCTGGCTCTTCAGAGCTTTCTTCCAGGCTTGCGGGGGAAGCACGTGCTGGTGAGGTCAGACAACACCACAATGGTCTTTCACATCAACCACCAGGGGGGAACGAGGTCGAGGAAACTGTTGTGCTTGACTCGACGGCTTCTGACCTGGGCAGCTCCACGCATAGCCAGCCTCAGAGAAGCCTACATCCCAGGGACGGAGAACGTGCCAGCAGATTTTCTATCCCGTCAGAAGCCGCTTCCAGGGGAGTGGAAGCTTCACCAAGAGGTGGTGGAGTGCATCTGGAAGGTCTTTGGCAGGGCGGACGTGGACCTCTTTGCCTCAAGGGACGCATTTCACTGTCCCCTTTGGTTCTCGTTGGACAACAGCAGCCCTCTGGGCCACGATGCTCTGGCACACGACTGGCCCCGGACCCTCCTTTATGCCTTTCCGCCATTCAGCCTACTTTTTCAGACTCTTCTCAGGGTACGTCAAGAGGGGCACAGGGTCCTGCTGGTGGCCCCCTACTGGCCAGCGAGGACTTGGTTTCCTCTACTGTGCGAGCTCAGCTCCGGCTCGCCAATGCGTCTCCCCTCCAGGAGAGATCTTCTTTCCCAGATGGGGGGTCAGATCTTGCACCCCGAACCGGACCGGCTCCAGCTCTGGATTTGGCCCCTGCAAGGCCGGGGTCCACCTTCTCAAGATACACTGGGTCCATAGGGCATACAATGGCTAATGCATGGGCGCCGTCCACGCGAGCTGTCTATGCTAACAAGTGGACGGTCTTTGCGACCTGGTGCCGTGATAGAGGGCAGGACCCGGTGCAGTGTTCAGTTTCTGACATACTGACCTTCTTGCAGGCATTGCTGGATCAAGGACGGTCTCCATCTACCTTAAAGGTGTATGTGGCTGCCATTTCCTGTTGGCATGTTGGGCTGAATGGTTGTTCTGTGGGCCGAGACAAGGATGTTGTACTGTTTTTAAGAGGTGCTCGGCGTTTGCACACACCCAACCGCCCTGTGGCACCGGCGTGGGACCTTTCTCTTGTGCTTGAGGCTCTTCGGTCCCTCCCATTTGAGCCCCTGGCGTCGGCGGACCTCAAATGGCTCTCACTGAAGACTGCGTTCCTTTTAGCTATGGTTTCCGCAAAACGTGTAGGGGAGTTAAAGGCTCTCTCGATAGCCGAACCCTGCTGCCGGTGGAATCCTGATGGCTCAGGCGTTACACTGTGGGCTGACGTAGCATTTATTCCTAAGGTATCACTGCCAGCAGGCAGCACCCAGCCTCTCCATCTTGCCCGGTTTGACTCCGGAAGTCCCTCTGAACCACTGTGTCCTGTTCGTGCCCTTGAGACATACATCAATGCCACGGCATCCTTCCGAAAGACAAATAGCCTTTTTGTTTGCTACGCTGGCTCACGGAAGGGTCAGGCACTTTCTAAGCAGCGAATTGCACACTGGGTTGTGGATTTGATCTCCAAGGCTTATGCCTTGCAGGACCGGCCACTGCCGGCGGGAGTGAAATGCCACTCTACAAGGGGCATGTCGACATCGTTTGCTGCTATGACTGGGGTGCCATTGGATGTTATATGCCGTGCGGCCTCCTGGAAATCACCTAGTACCTTTACTCGGTTCTACAGGGTGAATATGGCTGCGCCCCATCCGCTTCAGGGAATCCTCGAGCAGCATGCCTCTACATCACATTAGGTGGGTGGTGTAGTCGTTGTTCCTTGAATTTTGCTGATTCCTCGTGACCCTGTTTATATGAGTCATCCAGTGCTTGAAGCACCGCCTCTGGCGGTCAGTAGGGATGAAATAGAACGAAAGTTACTACCGTAACTACGGTTCTATGAATCCCGGATGACCGCCAGAGTGCTTGGTCCCTCGGAATCTCTGCTTTCGCGAGAAGATTGAGGGATTGATTGCCGGGTGCCACGTGACTATATAGAGTCACGTGGGTCCCCGGCAGGTCACAGCTGACTTTGTTGTCATTAATACTCGACCTGCGCATGCGCATGAATGATCATTCAGTGCTTGAAGCACCGCCTCTGGCAGTCATCCGGGATTCATAGAACCGTAGTTACGGTAGTAACTTTCGTTCAGATCCATAAATCTGGCCTTTTTGGAAGACAGTTTAGAAAGATAAAATAAATACAGTTTATTGATTTGTGTGCAGCGCTCTACTCAGATGAGATCTAAAGTCAAACTCTTGACTTAAAAGGAAGACTTTAAACACAGCATCTTGCTGTATGGATCCTAGACCAGCTCAAAGTCTGACCATAAATCCATCAGAGCACTGTTCTAAACCCAGCTCCTGGGGGCACCGATGTCTCTCAGCTTTATTTGATTCAGATGAATGCTTTTAATCAGCCACCAATGGAGAAAAGGTCAAGTTGGAAGACATCTAAAACCTGCCGGGCAGCTTTCCTTCAGGAGCAGGGTTAAAAAAAACACAGCATTAGAGAACCTATGGCAAGACTAGAAAAGTCATGTCGACATATTCTCTACATCCACTCTGAGCTCCATGTTTTGCAGAGACTTGCAGCCGAAATTAGAGCAGTTCGTTATGGAGGATGCGTGACGGCATGGTGCTTCACTCATGGTTCTCTTCTCTCTGCATTAACTAAACCTCCAATCCAACTCCCCCTCACCGGGAGAAATACCTAATGCCATGTTTTGGGCTGAGTCAGAATACAGGAAAAGTGAAACTGGAACCCTGGAAACATTCGCCTCTAAAACCTGAAGAAAACATAGGATAGGTTTGTACAGGAGTAGAACCAAGCAGAAAGTGTTTCCATGGAGCAGGATGTCTAAGAGGTGAAGGAATATAAACGCTGTGGTTTACACCTGGACAACAGATTGGACTGGAAATTCATTCATTCCACATTTCCTAAACACTGGAGGATCTTTGCCCCACCCAGAAACATTCTGGACATTATAGCAGTTAGAGCAAAGTGAACTCTTTTTGTTTTGAAAGAAAAAAAATCTGCCTATGATGGAAAGAAAACTTGCAGCATACATGATAGGATGAATAAATATGAATAAATATATATATATATATATATATATATATATATATATATATATATATATATATATATATATATATATATATGTGTGTGAATATAGATATATGTGAATATAGATATATGAAATATATCTATTTCCAAATGACTTTTCTAGCTTTGAGAATTTGTAAAATTAAAAATGAAAAAAAAAGATTTGTGTATATTTAATTAAACACTGGTGTGAATTTACGATTGGTCCCATTTCTTCAATTGCTGCAACAGTCATTTAGAAACAGTTCACCAGCAGGTTCAGAGGTGGGTTTTGTTTTCTGAATTTGTGTATTTTTCCGCAGGCCTGCGCTCCCCTCTACCAGTGGTCGACCTTCGGCTTCAGTGACCGGGAGCCTGTGGGAACATGCTACCTGAAGAAGGGCGGGACAGTGGTGGAATACTCACCCTGCAGATCCAGTATGTTTTTATTTAGATGTTGGATGCTTGTCTTGGAGGTTAAGAATCAAAGATGTACATTTGTTCTGTTTGCAGTTTGTTTGGGAACACAAATGATGTCAGAATTCAGCTTGTAGGCAAAGTTACTGAAAATAAGAACAACTTTGTCAATATGTGCAACATATGTAATGACCGCGTTTTGTATTGTCCTAAACCTTTCCCTAATGTTTAAAAAGAAGTATGAGGGCCCCTTTAACAGCAATCTTTTTAGATTAAATGATTTGCTTTTGGCTCCTGAACGATCTTCACAGAGTAGGGGAGCTGTGTTTGTAGCCATCCTTTCTGCTTTTTCTGCAGTTAGCTCTTAGCTCATTTCACTCATTTATTTGGATGATTAAATGTTGTGTGTTAAAAATTGAGGCAGTTAATAAACAAGGATACCAGCTTGGTCACACACTGCTGTGGGACGGCATCCCGTTCTGTATTCAGGCAACTCACTGCATCCTCTTCACCTTTGACCTCTACATGTCATCCTTGAGGACAGGGTGTTGAGATTTGTCTCCTTACTTCTTTTGCTAAATCTATTTACTGATAAGAAGTGTGTTTAGATGGAGAAAGCAGATGACATTAAGTGAAAGGTTTACAAAAAAAAACAAGAAATAACCCTTTTTTTTAGCGATGTACTGATGTGATTCTAGTTATCAACTCTAGGTACTTATGAGGATATCTTTACATGGGCACCATTGAAATTTGTGACTAAACCCTAAAACAACAAACTGATACGATGGAAAGCTGTGGTGGTGGTCTGCTGAACAGATCTAACAGCTCCACCTTCTTAATCAAGTGTAATAAATGTTTCAATCTTTTGTTTCTAATGCTTCTTCCTTCTTTTCAGACTACCACACCCCAGAAGGCCAAGGTTTCTGCCAGGCTGGCTTTAGTGCAGACTTTGTTAAGGTAGGCATTAGGGCTGGGCGATATGGAAAAAAAACTATATCACGATATGGATTATTTTATATCACGATAACGATATATATCACGATATACCACAACTGATGTTGCATTTTATGTTTTCATAGTCCGTCAGATGGACAGGGTTGAAAAAAATCTTTCATCGCCTATTTTTTACCCATCATATTGTTTCCTAATATGAGAATCCCAACCCCAAACCAAGAACACGAGTTATGCAATTTGCGGCCATGACAGTGAACAGTATAGAATCTTGGCTAATAATAGTAAAACTAGTGAACGCACAAAAGTGCATAGCAATGTCAGGCTCATACCTTGGGCGAGCATCACTCCGGTGTGGTCCTCAGGAAAGTACACGGTCTGTAGACACCGAGCGCGGAGGGTCCAGTCCTTGATGAAATGGATGGTGAGACTCATATAAGGCTGTGTTGCTCTACTCATCCACATGTCCGTAGTCAACGCATAATGCGTCGCACCACTGCGTACCTCTCTCTCTACTTCAGCCCGACAACTAGCATATAAGCCAGGCAGCTCCACTTTACTGAAATGTTTTCGACTAGGCATCACATATCTGGGATCGAGTGTACGGACGAGGTCCCGAAAGCTGTCTTTCTCGACTATGTAAACGGGGGCCATGCCTTTACAGATATAGCGTGAAATAGCACCTGTGATCTGCTTGTGTCGCTGAGACGTCTTCTCATATTGTGACCCTTGGACGAATGCTTCCTTAAGCTTCGGCTGTGAGAATTTCTTTCCAGTGCTTCCTGTATTTTCATCCCTTGTTTGTTTTGATCGGAGTGGTTGTAGTTTCCCGTGTTCTTGTTCATGATTTTTCTTCAGGTGGTAAAAGAGGCCGGAAGTATTTGCATCAGCCGCTGGAACGGCTTTGCTGCACAGTTTACATATCGGCTGCGTTTGTTCTTTATCAGATGGCTGAAATCCGAAATATAACCAAACAACCAAGCTGCCTCCCCTTTTGGGCAAAAGTGGTGTTTGTTGTGTCTGTGACCTGGCAACCGTTTCGGACTCTGTAACCGCTGCTGTGGTAACATCTTCTTGGGTGTCCATCATTCATTTTTTTTCAAGCCAGAAAGAAATTTCGCGGGCTCTCTCCGTCAGTAATGTCGCAAACGTATGGTGCAAAGCCACGTGACGTAAAGAGGTGTAGTGTCGCAAAATGACGTTCTCTACACATTATCTTTTTATTCTCTTTTTTTTCGTTATATACACTTAGAGTTTGCATAGCAAAAACGCAAAATGTTATTTTAACAAATTATATTAAAATGTATATTAGCAGTAATAATAATAATAAAAAAGTTTATCACGATAGAAAAAATAGAGGAGAAAGGTCACGATAGACATATTTCTATCGTCCTCACGATATATATCGCCATATCGCCCAGCTCTAGTAGGCATGCAGCACCAACCCAGACAGGCTATTATTTATAAACTTACAGAACACCTTTGCCAGGAAAGCTTACAGACATATGAAAAGGTTTGGGCACCCCTATTAATCTTAATTATTTTATTTCTAAATATTTGGGTGTTTGCAACTGTTTCAGTTTGATAAATCTAATAACTGATGGACACAATAATATTTTAGTATTGAATTAAGGTTTATTGGACTAACAGAAAATGTGCAGTATGCATTAAAATGAAATTTGACAGATGCAAAAATGTCGGTACCCTAATCATTTATTGATTTATATACCCATTATAATTATAATTAATTATAATACCTATTTGTAAAATGTTTTCTCACTTTTCTGTAGTGAGGAACTGTTGGTTCAAAACATTTGATTTCATGTTCAGAACTGTTAGAAATGTTGGATGCCAGTTCCAGGTTTTTCAAAGACTAAAATAAATTTGACAAATAAAATAAATGACATTATTTATAATTCTTGCAAAAGAAAGACATTTCTAAATCCATTTTCTTTTCATCATTAAACGTCTAGAACAATTCTGAGTGATTTATATACTGTATGTTAGGACAGCATCTACTGTTTACTGTATATTTAGCTGCTTTCAAACATCAGAGCAGAGCAGCCACTCATTTTACTCAACTAGGAGAGGTGATATTTAACAAGAGTATAACTCATGTAAAGATAAAAATAAAATACAATACAGTTAAACTACTCCTAAATTGATTTATTTTCCAAAAAGTTACTCAGCTGAGTAATTGTAACTATTAAGTGCCCACCTTTAAATAAAACACAATAGATAAGTAAATAAATTAATACAATTATTATAAAGCTGAGATAAAAGGGCCAAAAAATTACAGATTAAAACGAGGAATAATTAGGAAAAGATAATCTTATTTATTATTTATAAAAAGATAACAGACATAAAGGAGGTTCATTTTCTTTCTGCTTTTGCCGTTGTTTTCTTTTTTTTGATAATAAAGTTAGAAGAGTTTCCTGGAATTTCTGGTTCATATTTGTTTAACTTTGAAGAATCAGCTGTTACTGTTTTTCAAAAGTCAGAATGACCAAAAGGATTTGGGTTTTTGCCCGTTGAGATCATGAATGTGTTGTTGCCTTCTGATTCATCCTAATCTTAGAGGGTTTTAATGTTTGACCCACTGAGGCAGTTTTTTTATTACCGTAAACCAGGAATGTCTTTCTTTCGCCTCTCCTGATTTTATGGACTAAAGAAGAAGTGAAAGTAACAGAATCTGTTTTTCCTTGTTTTTTTCTGGTTGTGGCGTCAGAAAAACAAAAGAAGAGTGGTTGTGGGAGGACCAGGCAGCTTCTACTGGCAGGGTGAGTGTTCAGCTGAATCCAACGCTACTGGAAAAAGGTTCAGATCTGAGTGAATCAGCGTTTCTCTTTTTTTCCAAGTACAGGGGCAAACATTTACTCTAAGAAACTCATTTATAGGCAACGCCTTCAAAATAAAGTTTGATTTATTCATTTTGAATAAAGAAGTGTATCCGTATAGATTTCTATTCTGACCTGCATTTAATTAAACAATTAAAATGTAGAACTTTTCCTGATTTACAATAAGGCCACAGCATCCAGCAGCTAACAACAGGAACAGATTTATGCAAAAACATCTTTAGAAAAAATAAAGCACTAATCAGAAAATAGCAAAAATCTAATTTTATCTTAAATAACAGAAAGGGTCTTATTTATTTTTTTACATACCGTATTTTCACGACTATAAGGCGCACTTAAACGTCTTTTTTTTCCCTCAAAATGTGCGGTGCGCCCTATGGTGCGGTGCGCCCTATGTGTGTTGTAACTGCGACTTTTGAGACCACCTCATTGAGGAGATGATGAAAGAGTGGCTGAATGTAAGGAGACCAGGTGTTTTTTTTTCCACTCATCACCATCGCTGTTAATATGTAACTCCATGCGTGCCCATCTCACAGCTGATGTGAAAAACATGGGGTAACAAATTAACCCTGTGCTCGCTGTTCAACCGCTCGACATCGGTGTGAACCGGACCCAGCAGGTGCAGCAGAAGCAGCAAGTTTACATGCAAAGTCAATGGTTGACGCGCGTATAGGTGCAGCAAAAGGTCCTGCAGCGCGTTTTGAGCAGCAGGAGCGTTTAAGCATCTGCCAAAGCGCTGCTGCTGCTCGAGATGGAAAAATTTAAGTTTTGCTGCTGGAAGCGCCGCATCAACCAATCAGAGAAGCTGATCTGGGAGCTGACAGCGAGACAGACACAGCGCTCTGATGACATATGATATTAACGCAAATGGAAAAGGCTGGATGGATGAGATGATGAAAGCGTAGCTGAGGGAGGTGTAGTCTATGTGAGGAGACCAGGTGGTTTTTTCCACGCATCACCATTGCTGCGTGCCCATCTCACAGCCGATGTGAAAAAAAGGTGAATCAAATGGATACTGTGCTCGCCGTTATCCCGGGGGGTCTGACAAAGGAGCTTCAACCGCTCGACATCAGTGTGAAGCGGCCGTTCACAGTAAGACTGCGAGCGGCGTGGGAGCGAGATGACAGACGGAGACCACAGTTTCAGGATAAGTGGAAGGCAGCGCCGGGCAAGTTACGCCACAGTTTGCGGATGGATTGTAGATGCTTGGACTAACGTGTCTGCTGGCTCTGTTGTTCAAGCTTTTGCAAAAGCCGGCATTATTTCTGAGGAGCTGCGCTGCACGGAAAGTGACTGACAGCGAAGAAGGGGAAATTGGCATGTCTGATTTAGCCCAGCTGTTTAATTCAGAAACAGAGGATGATGACTTTGATGGGTTTGATTAATACTTTGTAATAAATACATGAATAAAGCACAATCATACTCAGTTTTGCTCCCGCTCTATTTTTCTACCTGAAAACTTAATTCAACAGCAGCCTCTGGGCCGGGTCTCCTCCTCTTCACCGCGGTGGCTGGCAGGTGTTTTTTCATCTAAATAATCTAAATCTTGCAGCTATATTTGCTGTGATCAGTGGGAATAAAGTAGTTTTAATATGTTTTTAAGTGAGAAAGTCCACCTGAAAACTTCATAATTGCAGTCAGTTCATCCAGATTATCTATTTCTGTCGGAGGCGCTCAGACCCCCACATACCAGCGGTGCGCCGACAGGAGAAATCCTTTCATCAGCAGCCTCTAGGATGGGTAGCCTCCGGGTTCACGCGGTGGCTGGCAGGTGTTTTTCATCTAAATAATTTAAACTGCAGGCACCCATAAAAGCGAGCAAATTCCGTCGGCAGGTTTCAGGATTTTAAGTTAATTTAGGAGTGATCACAGCGCTGTGTCATCTGCGATGTGTCTGTCTCACGGCCAGCTGCCAGGTTTGATTAATACTTTGAAATAAATACATGAATAAAGCACAGTGATACTCAGTTTTGCCCCCGCTGTATTTTTAAATACGCAGTAGAGGTATTTAAAGGTAGTAGAGGACAAGTACCTGTATATAAAAAACGCGCCATATAGTCCGGTGCGCCTTATGTGTGTGTTAAATACAGAAATGGGACACATAACTGAGACTGCGCCTTTTAGTACGGTGCGCCTTATGGTCGTGAAAATACGGTATATAAAATGGCATCTTTTATGTTTTTATATTGAGTGATATGGAGTTACTGGCTGATGGATTTATTTGGACAAATCTGGGCCCGCCAATCTGTTCCCATCCGTTTCCTTCCTTTAAAAACAACACCCAGCCGACTGATGGTTTTATCTATTTTTTTATGTTCACTTTTTTTTTTACAAAAATTGTAAAAAGTCTAGCTAAAGCAGATGGTGTGACTCCTGCATAGGTGCTGAAACGTCTTCAAAAAAAAGAAAAACCTGAGTGTAAGTCTGATTACCTTCCAATGATAGTCTGCTGTGGTTGTTTCATCTGTAGTTTCTATATATGCAGTTTAAAGTCCATTTTGATGTTCTCTAATTAATTCTAATTCAGTTTTAGTGTTTTTATTTTAGCTTATTTTGCCTGTTCTTTCATTAAAAGATGTTGTATCTTCAAATACCTAAAAAAAGTCTGCCAATAACTGTTTTATTTCTGTGAGGGTTGCTCCGATTGATCAGCCTTAATTTCTTTCATTTTGGAAGATTGATGTGAAACCGAACCCGTTATCAATGCAATGTAATGAAGTTTATTATTTGAGACAAGTTTTTTTTTTTTTTTCATAAGTACAGTTAAATGTTTTTCAGTAAAATAAAATTGAAATATTGAAGGTGTTTGGTGATTTTATAACAACTACAAGTGTTAGTTATAAAAGAAGAAAAAGAAATTTGTAAAAATGGGAATCGGCATGTCAGGCTTTTTAAAAGAACGGTGATCGGCCAAAAACCTGCAATCGATGCCTCTAGAAACGCATTTCCTGGAAGAAATGTGGCACACTTTGCTGGGATGCCATCCATCATTCAGATGTTAGGGTCAGAATAACTGTTTAACTCTGAGCTCTGCTTTTTGGCTCAGATCTAACTTTATGGCAGCAGACCGGAGCGGCGCTCACATGACTGCAGGTTACCGTCACTCAGGAACAAGGCAGCAAGACTCTCTAACTCCTTTGGGGCAGAGACTGATGCTGCTTTTCATTGTTATTCAGACTTTCAAACCTGAAAGTAGGAACTTTCATCTGGAAGGTTCTCAGAGTCAGAATCTCTAATTGGAAGTGAACATATTTAAGATAGATGCTACTCGCATCAACAGGAGCTAGACTATCTATCACACTTTGGTATTTGGTACATAATGAAGAAGTACCGGTACTAAAACATGTCAGTCTTTCGTGTACAACATTTAGTGTTAGTGACACATTTC